AGAATATTTTTGTTGAAAAATGAAGGAATAAGATTTCTGTTTGAATGTAGGATGTACAAGGATAATAATGAACATAAGCATACCTGATAGTCGATTGGTGAAATTATGCATAATTGAAAATAGTGATATACAAATATAAATGGTTGGTAAAAAAACATTTTTTTTCTATCACATGGGGATTATATAAAGGTATACTGTTATCAAATAGACAATCAAGAATGTAAGGGAATTATGATTTACTGGAAAAAAATAATACTAATTGTAACTGAACATATACTGTACAATGAAAGTGAAGTATTTAGTTATACTAGATAAAAAATCTGAGATAGTAAATGTTATTCGAGAATATGGATGTTAAAACACCTGTAACCAAACGACATGCTGTATGTGATGATGTTTTTTTGTTTTCTTTGTTTTTTTAATTGTTGTGTGTATGTGTTGTCTATGTAATAAAAATAAAAATTTATATTAAAAAAAAACAACAACAGCAGGATTACTCCTAAGTAAGAAGGGTGTTCTTGTTCCCATGCCTTTGAAAGTTCCTTTTGTGCACCGGGGGCCCAAGCTCTCAATGCTGATCTGTGTGTCTGGCAGGGTTTTTCAAAACGCCATTGCCTTGCAATTAATTTTCTTATTTGTTTTACCTAAAGGAGGTGTGTGGGTTGGGGGAAGGAAAGATAGGAAGATCAGTAGTTTTCCTGGGAGACCGATATAGATCTTTCAATCTAAGTATCTAAGCTGCCTATTATGATAAAATCCCAGGCTTGCCTTCTGAGGACTCGAATGTGAAAGGGGAGAATGCTGCCCCATCTTCCTTGCTCTGGAGAGCCCCATTATAAAATCAGATTCCGATGCTAGCCTTCAAATGTGTACAATTTTCACGACTGCGCTTCTTCATTCCCCTTGCAGGGCTGAACTGCAGCTATTTGCCAAAACTGATAAAATGCATGTCTCTTCACCATATGCCAGTCAGCAATCAATTTTATTTTTCATACAAACAAAACACAGGTATGTTTGCTTCTGGGCCCCTACATTTCACACCAGGCGGAGGTGACATTTATAACTGATGGGGCCATCAACCTGCACGGTTTATATATATGATAGGTGCGTGCATATGTGTGTGTTTTCCCCTTTCTGCTTGATTGCTTGGGTAGAAACAAACCGTTCCTTAGTTAATAGCAGGCTAGCAGTTGCTAGTAGAGACTGCAGAATCTAATACCACTTTTCTCAACTCGCAATTTACAGATGTGCTAAAATTTCTAAGCGGCCTCCTTCTTGGTCAGCTGAGGAGCTAGTCTGGCTAACTGGGAATGATGGGAGTTGTGATCCCACACAACTAGAAGCCTGAAGTTTGAGAGAGGCTGTCATAATTCTAGCAAAATTTTGTTTTGACCCTGAAAAGGAACAGAGCTGTGATGCCAGGGAATATGAATATGAACTAAAACAATGTGTAGTTTTACCGTATTTCTAGGTCTCACAGAGATTGAAACAATGAGTATGTTTCATTGTAGTTGCAGCACTTAACTGTTAATCTCCAAATTAAATCTCGGGATCTGATTGTACTCAGATGGAAAACCAGAAGGAAATTTCAGGACTATGGGTGGGACTGGAAAGTTGAAAAAGATAGTAAGGTAAAGGTTCCCCTCGCCTTAAAATAGCTTCTACTGTACTGCCGTAAATTGGATTCTACTGTACAGTGCAGTGGAGTTGTCATGGTAACAGCTTCACAGAACTCCACAAGGGGGCTCCCTCTAGTAAGGGGGAGAATCCAACATTAGAAATTACGTTTGCTCCACACATTTCCTGCCTATAAATAAATACCGGGCAACGCCGAGTTATCAACTAGTC